AAGAGAAAAAAGCTCAGCTATATTGGCTATAACAACCTTATTCTGCTCTTCTGCTCGCGCTAGCTTCTCCCGTAGCGCATCGCCCTCCACTCACAACAATGAGATTTGCTCACCCGGCAGTGAGTTTGTTGTTCAAGATTAAGTTTGTCTTCAAAGCTTCTCGAAGGGAACTAGAGGTCTTGACCAAATCACCATTCACCCATGCCAAGTCTGAGGATTAATTGCTCTTTATCACATCGACTCTCGACCTCTTATCAAAGACCAGGCACGAGTCTGGAGCTTGATGAAGGCTTACAACATCTTCGCATGGTCGGCTATAATGTACAAGTTCTTCTTTACCGTCAACATATCAACGGTGACTTTTGAGCCAATCTAGTGATCTGAGCTAAAAAACTTGTTTATAACTTAATTGGTTAATATTTATAATTTAAATTATAATATTATAGTATATTTGTATAGACAATAGGACAAAAAATATATAATACTTTTAATTACAATTATTTTTATTTTTATTTTAATATATAAATATTTTTTAAAGTGTGTCAACTTGTCTCGTTCCACTTTTGGCTCGCCAGATTGACAAACAAGATGGAGCAAACCAAAACTGACGGACTAAAACTACCAATCCACTCACCCACCAATTTTGAAGCGGACTAAGAGATTAACGCGTCAAACCTAATCCATTTTACCATCCTGTTTAGATATTAGTATTGAGTTAATTATTTGATTTGTCTTCACAACTGCACAACACCTAAGATTGAAATAAACTTACAATCATCTCTCTTAAGTGTTAATTGTGATCTTTTATTATTTTAAGAAATAATTACTCAACAACATCATCTCTTTAATAAAATTAATCCTTTAGAATTTCAGACTGAGTAACACACCATATTAAGTTCATAACATAAAGACACCACTCTCTCTCCCATCCTATGAACATTTCAGCCTAAGTGATTTTGTAATCATAAAAAACAATGATTATCATCCCATACTTATTTTTCCTTTCATAGTCTTTAGAGAGTTTCATTTGTCATAATAAAAAAAAAAATTATCATGCAATTAAAGTATGACTACACCTTAAGTTCTCAAAATATATCTCTACGACTTTGATGATAATTATTGTGAATTCCAAGTTTACTTTAACCCTAATTCATATTAGCTTGATACAATAGACACCTCTCACCAAATGCTTCCTCATTAAAAATGTCTTAATAATCTCATATGCATGTTTACCAAAGTTACACAGCTTATTATCACATATAATATAAATTTTATCTTCTGTAACATTAACAATAAGCTAAGAAAAACATTCACATATAATTACACTCAACTCAGTGTACTAAATTCTTTTAGAATGTTCTTTCACTATTTGTTACAATAAACATTTATTAATACCTTAATTAGGTTCTAGTGAGTGTAAATTTATTGAGTGATGCTTAGACTTACCACCTACAAAGAATGATTCCTTTTAAATATTAGGAATAATTCATTATCAATCAAAGAACATGAATAATACATTTACACAACCTAACCTACATATTAAGTTCCCAATACAAAATTTGTTTGTTAATAACATTCTTAATTGTCTTGGTTTTAAATAACATAATCAATCACCGATATTCATTTTAAATTTGTAACACATCAAAAGTCATTTTTAAATAATTAGAACTCATATGTAAATTAAACAACATAGTAAACTTTATTAAGGATTTATATTTAACAAATTATGATTTTTATATTATCTATTATCTTTGCATGCCCTTCATGCAATAACTTTGATGTATAAGTACGCACAAGAAAAATAAATGTAAGAAGAAAAAAGTAATAAAGAGAAGAAAACTATTTAGAAAAATGTTATATTTTAATATTATTGTGTACAATAAAAACTCATATACATAAATATATAAAATAGTGTAAAAATAGAAATCTATTATTAGTTATAAACTCATAACCAAGCTTGTGTATTATGTTCTCCCTAACCACATGACAATCTATCTTTATATGTTTTTCTCCTTCATGAAAACTTAATTGAAAGAAATATGTCTAGTTAAATCGTTATCACACTAAAGCACAACTTGTGTGGGGTTCTGAACATCAAGATCTTTAGAAAGATATGTTAGAGCACAGCTTGCGTGGGGTTCTGAACATCAGGATCTTTAGAAAGATATGTTAATAGTTAGATTTCACAAGTAATTGTTGCAAGAGGCCTGCATTATGCCTTAGTGGATAAGCTAGAAATGATAAATTGCTTCTTTGATTTCCATGAAATAAGTGATGATCCAAGGAACACATGAAAATCAGTAATGGATCTCTGAGTTTCAAGACATATAGTCCAATGTAAGTCATTAAATCCTTTTAATTGAGTCTCTGAATTTGTTGAAAAAAATATTTCATGTGAAGGAACATTTTTAATATATCGTATGCAACACAATGATGATATTAAGTAGGCCTTTGAGACATAATAAAGAATCAATAATACACAGTTTCACAGTTTCTGTGTAATTCTTTGTTATCAAACTTGTATCGAGCTAGGTTTATCAAGAGAGGTAGTTTTTTTTTAGCATCATAAAAAGAGTGAGAATGGTCAATAGTATGACAGATGTTGTTGTAGTTGTGCTTTGACTGACGAAGGACATCAATTATGATAGATGGAGTGCCCAGATGAAGACTCTCTTCACAACCCAAGATTGTTGGGATATAGTAGAGGATGTCTATGAAGAACCAGAGACCACAGAAGGGTTATCATCCAACGTACTCAAAGCATTTAAAGAGGAATGTTTGAAAAATAGTGCAGATCTATTTTTATTGTTTCGAGTTGTAGAAGATTCTGATTTTGAGAAGATTATATGAATTACGTCCGCACCCAACACGTGGGACAAGTTGGAGAAGGATCACAAGAAAGATGGTCGAGTCACACGAATTCGACAACATACGTAGCAAGATGGAGAGTATGAGAATGAAGGAGTCGGAAATAGTTTCCAAATACATCTTGCGTGTTGAAAGCTAGGCGAAACAGATTAATCAGAATGGAGAGGTGTTTTCCATAGAACAAATAGTTGAAAAGATCTTAAGGTCATTAATAAATTACTTTGAGAAAGTAGTGTGTGCGATAGAACAAGCAAAAGACTTGTCTGAACTTACAATTAAAGAATTAGTCAGTTCTCTTGAATCCTATGAACATCAAAAGAAGAAAAAGAAGGAGGAGATGATTATACAAGTGTTGCAAACCGAGATAAAAGAGGAGAAGACTCTCTATTATCAGAATAATAAAGGAAGGGATCAAGGACGATCTGGCCATGGTGGTCGAGTTGGAGAGAAGAAAAAAGGATGTCAACAAAATTTACAAGAAAAAGAACATGGTCAAAGAGAAGATCGGTCGACGAGCAACTCAAAATAAATTCAACCACCAAAAAATAATATTTATTTAAAAATAATAAATAATTCTTATAAAATATTTTTTATTAGAAACAATCTTTTATTAAAAACATCATTGATAAGAATTTTTTGGATAAAATAATAAATAAATTATCCAATCATATGCAAAAATAAGACTTAGACACCCACTTGAGATGTTTAGATAAAAGAAGGGATAAAGTGGAAAGTCCAAATGATATTAAGGTTTGATTAATCAATGAAAAAAGTTCTTAAAAACCTTAATCATCCCTTGGCCCACTTCATATCTTGTATTTGTTTTCTAGGATAATTTCATTTTTAGAGAAAATGAAGCTAATTAGAATTTAATAAAGGTAAAAATCAAGCAATTCAAGACGAAACTGAAGATTTCACTCCGTTTAATTGAGCGTCTAAGTATGTACATCTTAAATTTTTATTTTGAATTTTAACTCTTCTTTATGCCATTGAATTCATTGCTCTTATTTTCCTTGCTTTCTTATCAAATGCTTGAATGTTCACATAACTAATTATTTTTTAGTGAAACTTTATATCTTTCATTGCAACCAATTTGTACGCAAGTTATTTTATTTTAAGTAATAATTAGTGTAATTCACTGTTTTTTAGTGAAACTCACATAATCACTATTGATTGAAAATAGTTTTTTTTATGCATACCTAATATTTTTCATATCCAATGACTGGAAATTTTTTATTTCTTGTAATTGGTGGTTAATTTGGATTATTATAATATACGTAATTATCCTAATTTTTATAGATATTTGCAATACAATAAGTCAATTCAATATATGAATATATGTTATTCTGTAATTGATAGCTAATATATTTATTCTAATTAACTTGTTTTTTATTAAATATAACAACATTCAAAAGTTTTGACCACAGTGATTTGACAATCTCCTGAATGATGTTGATGATAATCATAAATCACTTATGGAGAAATAGAAGGAGATGGTACAGAAAATTAAGAAGATCAATTTGTTTTGATGTCAGTACCTTGACTTGAATGCATTGAAAATAGGTGGAAATGGTAACAGACAAGGTCAAAGAAAACAACTGTAACTGCTTATAGTTAAGAAGAACGTGGGGGTGAAAAAACTAAAGAAGAGGTTTTACAATAGTAGTGAAAAAAAGTTAAGAGATGACAGACCTTACTATAGAGATGTGTGTTTAGTTCTTAAATTCTAACTTCTGGTCAATAATCATGAATATGCAAGAAACACAAAAACAAAATCAATCTAAGAGAATGACAATTGAGTTTGGATGTACTTGATTTTCAAACCTTACTTACCAATTTGTTAATGAATATTAAAATTTTACAGTTCACACAAGTAAACAATAAAAAATTGAATTAGATACCCTCACTAAAACAATCATATGGTATTATTGTGGATAACTAGTAACTTCAAGATAAAGGTAGTTCAAAATTCTAACTCTATGTGACAACAAAATATCCCAATGAAATTATGAAACTGAATTGAGCAACATATTGAAGTTTAATGGTCAAACCTAACCCAAAACTCTACCTAAGGTGACAGACAAAGCATTTAATTACAACAAGATTTCTCAAAAAAATCTTACCCTCTAGATCTAATTGGAATAGTTGTCTTTGCCTTCATTACCAACAGCATCAGAAACCAAAGCCATTGGTCTTTCATCAATAACCTCATCAATGATTCCAAAATCTTTGGCCTCCTGGGGAGTCATGAAGTTATCAGCGTCCATATTTTTTTGAATGACCTCAACGGACTTACCCGTATGCTTAGCATATAACTCATTCAAAGAATCCCAAAGCCGAACAATGTTCTTGGCGTGAACTGCAATATTCTTTGCCTCGCCACTAAATTCACCAGAAGGTTGGTGAATCATGATTGTTGCATTTGGAAGAGAACGCCTTTCCCCTTTGGCACCCGCAGCTAATAGAAGAGAACCCATAGATGCAGCTTGACCCATACAGATGGTATTGACTGGAGATTTAATATACTGCATTGTATCATAAATAGCAAGTCCTGCACATAGTGGTCACACCAATGCTAAAACTTAGAAACAAAGACTTCAAAAGAATAAATAATTTATAACTAAAGCAAATCTACTGATATCAAGATTCTAAGAGACTGCATTCTATTCTATGGTTGTCTCTATTGTATGTTTCAGTCCTTCATACTGTATTCATTCTTTCTGTTTTTGATAAATAAATCAAATCAAATCATATAAAAAGTCTAGTTGAGCATGTTGAGTTGGTTAAGCAGTATGTGATGTAAATTCTTAAATTCTTTGACATGTTTTAAGTTCCTACTAACAAATCTAGTGAAATCTCTCTTCTCAGTTACATTTCTTCTTTTTCTTTATCATCTAAGATTACACACCTAACATGATAAACCCATGTGAAATACTAACTTTCAATTACAAGGACCAACTAAACAGATTACCCCTTAGAAAATCATATATGTTGTCCATTGAGCAATAACCATCAATTATCAATTATAGATTAAAAAGCAAAAACCATACCTTTTACAATTAGGGGTTTTGCAGAATGAGTTCCCCAAAAATGCGATTTTGAAGAAGCATATATGGCAGAAAGTTAAGGGATAATGAAACCAAAGGTACCTGCCGTGACGGCGCCACCGGGAGAGTTGAGGTACATGTGGATAGGTTTGGAAGGATTTTCGGATTCAAGGAAGAGAAGCTGCGCAACCACGACGTGAGCGGTGTCATCGGAGATGGGTCCGTTGATGCAGATAATGCGCTCCTTTAGGAGGCGGGAAAAGATGTCGTAAGCCCTCTCTCCTCGGGAAGAGTGCTCAACAACCATTGGGATGAGATTGTAAAAACGACTACTGCGTTGGAATTGAACGCTCCTTCCATGGAACAACAACTTCCTCGCAAGCTCATTCGTATTTCTTACAATTCCTCTCATGGCTGCCAACACCACTCCAAGTTGTGGTTTTTCAATTTGTCTTAGTTTGGTTATGTTTAACCAGAGTTTCTCTGATTTGGTTTTGTGTAAGCTATGGTCTTCCTAGCTCAGTTCATTTTTTTTTTTATTATTTTATCCTAGATTTAGCATAAATTTTGACAGTTCTCAGTTTATAAATTGTATCATATTTAAAGGTATAATGAGTTATAAATAAATAAATATTTGTAATATAAAATATATTTTAAATTTATTTATATTATTAAACAAAGGATATTTTATAAAAAAATTCATAAAAATATTATTTTTAATCAAATAAAATATAATTATATTTTTTTATGATAAATTTTAGAATTTTTGTATATATGTAATTTTAATATATGAAATATAAAATATATGATGCCCGAATTTAACTGGGTTAGCGGTAGTGGAAGAACTAGATATGAATGAGTAAAGAACGATTTTAGTTGTAAGATATCTAATAAAACAATTAATATCTCAATTAAAAAGATATGATATATTTGAAGTTTCTTTTTATATATTATATGAATGATTTGATCCATAAAGACCATAATTGGAAAAATTTATTATCGTCTTTCCTTAAAAAAGAGGCTAAACATAATTAATTTGAATTTGGGATAATTATTTGAAAGCTTAGTGAAAGATTGCATTTATTATCTCATGTTTGCTTTTTGTAAAGAAATACCAAAGGAAGTGAAAAGTTTCTTCAAATAACAAAGGACTGGGTCAATTATTCAATCAAATGATATTGAACATATTTCTCGTATCTTCTTGAGAAAAAAACGAGTTATTTCTTTACAAAATTGTGTTCAATTTCATATATGACAATTTCATCAACATCTCTTCGTTAATTAGGGGAAGAGTCAGCACAAATCAGATTTTTTGAGGAACATGTTAAGATATAATTGAATTTAGTTAGACAATGTTTGGTTGGGAACACAAGGATCGATTTTTTAACAATGTACAAAATGTATCATCAAATCTTCAATATGATTTCATAAGATCTAGTTTCATTTAAGTAACGAATTCTGGCCAATTGAAAGGATCTTTTGATTAATTCAAGGATTATTTTGATTCCATTAGGAATGAGAAATCGAAATATCATACATTGATCAATTAAAAAGAGATTTATCAACTAAAAGAAATATTGATTCTTTGTTGGGATCCTTCCTTTCTTCAAATGAAACTAATAGAGATAGAATTAGAGTTCTTGCAGGATGGAACCATGCAGTACTAGACACGAGGTAGATCTTCCAAAGAGTAAGGTTGTTTTCGAATAAGCCAATTCATTTGGGACTCCGCGAATTCACCATTTTTCTTATTCAAATATTCGTCTTTTGAATTGTTAAGAATATGCAAAAAAATCATTTTAAATTGTTGATTCATTGCTAGAAATGACTTAGAATCAATAATTCATAATCTAAAATATTTTTCCATTCTAATACTCTATGTAAGAATTATCAATATTTATCAAATATGTTTCTTATCTAATGAAACACTATTGGATCAAATGATAAAGACATTGTTGAGCAAAATATGACTTTTCTCACATGAGATAGTTGTTATTGTTATCTACTCTAATAATGAATCATTGGTTTAATTGAATAACTAAAAAAATAAACATTTCTTTCTCTTTGTCTCATGTCGATGGATCTTCTCAATTGAAAGACCCTATGTATCGATAATACACATTTCAGTTGACTGAACCTAATTCAAATTATTTTGTTCATAAACAAAAAGATCCACAAGACGGTAGACACCAATTTCTTACTAGAAGATAAACTTGATTACAAGATGAACTCCTCTAAAAAAAAGCATTAGTCCTTGTGTAAATGAGATGCTCTACCTAATTGAGTTACAATCCTTATGTTTTTAATACATATTTTATTATTGTATGAAGATAATTTAATTTTTTTGTCAAGATAAATATTACATGATCAAATCCCTTGAATGGATATTGTATTGGTATTATTTATTAGTAAGATTACATTTATAATCAATTTATATAATAAATGAGTGTTTTTCTTAGTGATTAGGGTATTGTTTTCCTAAGAGTCATTGGTTCAAATATAATAATAAGTAAAGTGTAATTCATATTAATTATATATCTTTAACTTTGGTATCTAATAAGTTTTTCTCCTACTCATATTTCCATTTTTTATTGATTTACTTATATATTTTATATATAAATATGATAAAATATTAAATATTAACAATATCTTAATTATAATTATCTAAATCAAAATAATAATTTAATATTTTTTATTTTATTTTTTAAAAAATTAATATTTTATTTAAATAAAAAAATAATATTTTTAATGTTTTGATGGAGAAATATATATATATATATATATATATATATATATATATATAATATTAAAGGGAAAACTATATATAATATATATGTATATAAAACAGTAATAAGAAATAATGTAATATATAGAGAGGAAAATAAAATTAAAAAATAATATAAAAATATAAAACACTACGGCTAATATATAAAATAAATTTGTACATGATAAATTTTTTAATATAAATTTTATTTTAATTATGAACCAATTTTATAAAATGTTATTAAATTAAGGGTGATGATATATATATATATATATATATATATATATATATATATATATATATATAAATAAGTATTTCATAATTATTTTTATTAAAATAAAACAATAAAGTATTTATAATTTACTCTCTCTCTCTCTTTTTCTTATTCTCTCGCCCAAAATTTCCCTTAGGAGAATGGACTCTCAAATAATAATTTTCCTAAATTTAATTCAGAAATATAGATAATAAATAAAATTGAAAAAGGTAGAAATTAAATTAATCAGAAAAATAAAAATCAACCATTACTATATTTGTCTACCAATCTGTTGAAAAAACCATTTAGTGAGAGAATAATGACGATGATGAAGCAAAATTGCAGGTGTCCTCACTCGCTCCAATTTCTCTCTCTCTGATCATTTTCCGTTCGGAATAGGAGCTGAATCGGTATCTCGTCGAACTCCAATGGCGTTGGCGAATCCACCTGCCGCCGGAAGAGGGAGACAGCGGCATTCCGCCCCTTCGCGACGGTGGATCTGACTGGAGTTGGTGTTCTCTGTCTTATGGGAGACATCTGCAATTGACAGAACAAGGAACGCTGGAGGCTCCGCGTCGGCAATGAGCTCGGTAACATTCGAAAGCGTTTCAAAACCGAGAAAGTTAGGGTATCTGTATCGCATTTTTTTACTTGACGAATCTTGCGTTTGTTATGTTTCGCAACGAGCGACGACTATTTGGAACTTGGATTTCCTAGTTTTTTTTTTTTTTGTCAATGCGTCTCGTCGTTCGTGGGGAAAAGTGTTGTTAAAATTTGTTTTGCGATGTTTGAAATAGTAAACTAGTTTTGCTTAGTATCACGTTTGTGATTTTTTGTACTGGTGTGAGATAAATGCTGTTATGTTAACTTGTGTATTGTGAAGTGTGTAGACAGATCGTCAAGTTTTCTCATCCTTCCATGTGTCTGTTGAGTGTAATGCTAGGTGCATGATTGGTTGAATATACGCATATCGTGTCCCTTTGGCTGCTTGATCGAACTTGATATATTGATTATTTACCATAATAGTTTGTGCTTGGGAGTTAGAGTCCATTTGAAAAAGTTTATTTTATGCTTAGTTGGACTTATCTTATGGCACCAGTGCAAGTGTATGGAAGAGCTTATGAAAATAGTTTATATTGATACGTAAGCAGTTTTTACCTTATTTCAGAGTAAGCTCTTGTGGAAATGCAATACGAAAAAAATTTAACCACATTTCATCTTTGATTGTTCAAGCATTTTATACATAAGTGCCTTCATGATAAGTACTTATTCATTAAGTGCTTACTAAAGTCGAATTATTTGGTGAGCCTGTAATTGGTTCCTAAAACTCTGGAAAATTGTTTTGTATTTCTCTGCCATTGCACTGCGCTTTTGTGTTGTTCTCAGTTAGTACAGGATCAATGCTTTTCAAGTAGTAACTGTTGCCTCCTGGAACTAACTTCAATCAACTTACCATACTGACTGCTTAAGGCTGATTGATAAACTTTACATTTTTACTTGTCTTGGGGTGTTTTTCATATGGTAGGAGGGGTTTGTGAATTTCATTTGGAAAACTATTGATCATTGCTGACAACTTTTAAGCATTTTATCATTTCCGGTAAAATTGCTTCTTTTTCTTTTCAAATAAAGAAATCTTATATATTACTTGTCATCTGTTGCTGCAATCAAAACAACTAAAGTCTCTTAGTAATGCATGTATATTGATTTTCTACTTTTCATTCTGTATTCTAGGGTTTGACACCATATATGAAAAATAAATATGTCTGGAAGATACTTTATATATATATATATATATATATATGTGTGTGTGTGTGTGTGTGTGTTTAGCTATGATGTGGACTTTTGTCACGGGGGAGCTGTTTCTCTAATATCTGCTCCTAAGTATCCAGAAAAACATGTAATTTGTTATACTTTCATGACCAATTGTTAGATATTGTTTAGATATGGTTTGATATTGTTAATCACAATATTAAATAATATCTTCTATTTACTCTAATTATTTTTTTTAGTTATTCTTTTTAGTTATATCTCTCTTTTGACCCGCGACATACGGTCTTGTTCGTCTCAGTAAGGCGACCACTGTAAAGTTGATATCACCACTATCTAAGTTAAGAAATGTTATTGTCATGTCCATAATAGTCCTTTAAAAATCTAGATTACCTCGTCACCACTCCTATTTTTGTATAAACTTTTGGTTGCATAGGTGCAATGTCCACTTGAAATCATTAATCTCCAACCAAGCAGGGATATACCTGTTCATGACTTCTCCTACATGTTTGGTAACAATATGGTAAATAAATTTAAAACTATGTTTTATGTTCCTAACATGACAAATCATGATATTCTTTCCTTCTAACAGAATCGATGCACAACACATTTAACGTGTAAAACACAGACTATCTTGAGTTACTTCTCTCATGAAGTTTAGCATGTAATCTGACCTTTATAATGTTGATTTTGCTTGAAGGTCCTGTTGGTGATGGTGTAATTTTAGTTGATTGAAACGTGTTATTTTATTTTAAACTGATCTTTGTTGCTGAGGAAACTGAAATATCACAAATATTGTAATACAAGATTTTAAATTTCAATTTTACATGGAACAACAATGAACCCCGGGGTTCAACATGTGATCACATTCTCATCTTGTCCTTTTGTAGGTCAAAAAACCTCACCTTCCGTGTGTCTTAAGCAAGTTTCTTCAGCCTATACCTATATCTGCTGAATAGTTTTTCTCTCGACGGAGATCACTTTCTGGACCTCCTTTTAAAACTTAAAGGAGTGGTATGTATCTGCCATAAGTTTGAACGTTTGCCAATTCATTTATATTAATTGAGTTAATTCAATGTTGCAAATTTTGTTGATTTTGCTGGTTAGAGAAGTTCACACCTTCCACTGCTTGGACTGGCGAACAACTTATTCAATAGCGCTACCAGTTAACTTAAAGTCCTTTTTTCTGACTTCTCTTTATGTTCAAGCTAATATTGATGCACATTTATTTATTACCATTTTTCCTGTTATCTGACATAGGGACCCCAATCCAAAGAATCTTCTTCCAAGTACAACATTCTATTCAGAAAGTACAAGCACGATGCTATGTGTAGTAAGTTATAATCTACAAATCTTTAAGTAATCCGTTGTAAGAAAATGAGGCAAAATGAGAGAAGGCAATTTTCATCTGGTCCGACGAGATATCAAATATCAATGATAATTTCTTTTGAATGTCCGTACTTTTCTGTAAGCATGCAGACAGGGATGTGAGATAGTTTTCCTTTGAACATAAGCTAATTTTGCTATCGATTGTCAACATCAATACTAGTTTTACAACTTGAACATCCAATTCTATGACTGTATTGAGGTGAACATGGTTGTTAGCTACACACACCTAATTTCACCAGTACGGTCCTCGAGCCAGTGATGGCGAAATTGAGGGTGAGCTATTTGTCGGTTGGTCGGCATTTTTTAGATTCTTTCTGCTCGAAATTTCTTATATATTCCTGTTTAACTGGATTACTCGTGATGCACAAATAATAGCCTGTAAAAAATACTGCCTCGCAGAACAAAATGTAACAGCAGACTTATCAATCTCTACAACTAGTTTGAATGATAGGTAGGGATAGGGAGTGTATATTGCATATTTTTTGCTTTCAAGTGCTTTTTAAGTGTTGGTTTGATAGAAGACAAACAAATTAAACTTGTACTTGCTGATATTGAAAAACAACTATACCAACTCTGAGGGAATGCAAGTTCTCCGCTACAGGTCTCTCTCGGCTGTGAACACCCAAATCGGATACATGACAAATTATAGAATAACTGTCCATTATAATCCTACGCGTTTCAGAGTGAATATGAACGCATTATAAACGCTTCGGCTTAAATTGAGTACAGCTTAATTTGACCGAACTCAAAAAATGAGAATTTAATTTTTAATCTATACAAATAATGCATCAGAGAAGCATTGTAAAAAAATATTGCTTATCTCTGAGTTCAGAGCATTTTCCTGTTGACTGAAATGGTAAGAACAATTCCACAAGAAGGGAACAAAATCCGCCTAAATTCCATATGATTCCAGACCATGACCGAAAGCCACACATCTCATCATTTGCCGCCAAGGTCGCATAGCCAAGCATTCTTCATCAACCAGATTGGTTATATATTACAAAATTACTTCTCAAGGGCCACCACCAAGCGAACATCAACAGCGCTAGCACAATGAGCTATTACCATTCCCGGCAATGCCCACACCTCCAACTTCCAACCCTAGATGGTAATTCAACCCAAGGCGAACATTGACTGTGAATCAAAATCCCACAAAGCTCACAACAGAGATCAGGGGCTGGTTCCATTTGTGAACATTGCATGCAACTATTGCCGGTGAAAATTGTAGGTTCTGATTTAACATCTCCACACTCTTCAGGAATAAGGGTGGTACTAGAATTTTCCAAATATCCTGACAAGTCCCCAGACACATCAACTCCCTCTAACTGACTACCATCATCTGACTGCAGCAGTTCCGTTACAGAGAAGTAGGTATGGGGTTCAAAATCCATAAAATCATCATAATTTACATCATCAGAGTCATTCAGTAGCTTGTTGTCAAAGTCAACACCAGAGGCATATTCTAAAGGTGTAGATTCCTCTACAGGCTGGGACAGATTACCTGCTTCACCACCGTAGTTAGAGAACTCGGCATTCAAAGGTACACCTCCAAAAGAAACATCATCCCCCTCATTCTTAATATTTCTTCTCACTGGCAGTTTCTGAAGCCCTGGTCCAGCGACACTGTTCCACTCAATATCCCCATCTATCTTATTAGGTTCTGTTATGAGTTCAACAGTTGAGAGAGAGAAAAGAAGAGGATCATCTTCAACAGGATAGACAGAAGTAGAATCCTCATCAGCAAAGACAGGAGTAGGATCCTCCACAGAAAAAGCAGTCGAATCATCATATACAGGAAAGACGGGAGTAGCAGCTTCACACTCTCTCACATCAGAAATTGCTCCAGAATCAGTATCTGCTCCAGAATGTTCTTTCTTTGCTTTTGTGCGTGACTTTTTGCCTTCTGGTCTCTTGGGCTTCAAATCAGAGTAAGGACAAACAGGTGATTTTATCCTTCGACACTTGCAACATTTGAAGCCCAACACACCAGAAATTTTGGATTCTTCAAGTTCAACAGCTTCGGCATGATACCAATCTGTGAAAAGCAAACACATCAGATTAACAAGTATAATCACCGTTAACATTTTATAAATTATTTACTACAGAAAAACTTACTTTGGCATGTCTCACAGCAGATATACATCACATCAGACATATATGGCTTTCGGCACAAGTGACAAACAGGATTTACTTCTGGCATGTTTGAGCTCCCTTTTAAAAGTATGTTTCTGAGCAGGAAATCATTGTCTGTATCTTCGTTATTTTTCTTTTTCCATATAATGCCCCACGAACAATTTTTGCGACGGCGTTTTCCTTCCGATGTGGTCACAGAAGCAACTTGTTGCATTTCAAGATGATTATCATTAGTCCTGGTAGAATTTGGTTCTTGTTTACAATATTTAGCCTTTGTTCCTTTTAAACTCGTCACAGAAGTAACTTGTTTCATGGGATTAGTAGCCTTTGTCTTGGAAGATTTCAGTACTTGATCATGAGTTTTAGGCCTTGATCTCTTCAAAACTGTCCCAGAGTTATTCTCTCTTCCTCGTAAGAGTAATGGACTGGTTGGAGATTCATTACTATTCTCTTGCTGAGCAAGTAATCTGGCATGGTAACAGTGCTTGCACGTGGTCAAGTACTCAACTTCGTTTGCAGAGACCATGGATCCTATGGAACAACCCTCGTGACAATAACCTAATACACCCATAATGAATAAGATCTTATAACAACATACATTTATGAACAAGAATAATATAATGCTTGGATTTTAAATATCAACATCAATACAAAATTTTGTTTGTGCAACTAACTATAAGGTACCACAATGACAGAATATTAACTCAACTAAAATAAAAGATGAAAAAGAATAACAAAATTTATAATAGGCAAAAATAGAATTACACTTAGTGCAAGAAATTACAACACCATTTTCTATATAAACTTAAGGAGGAAAAAATATCAGACTATCATGAAAATAGGAGAATACAATTGTTAAGAAAATCTTATAGGAAGAACTATTTTTTCTCTCAATTTCAAAAGCATTTTAAAACCGGGGGAGGATAAGATTGGGATGATTGAAAAAGGGAGACAAACTCCCTTATATAGCAATCAAACCCACCATGTGGAACTTTTCACAGTAACTATTTTAATAATATAGAAATGGCTATATATTTATATTTATATAGATACAGAAGTTATTAAATAAGAAATTTAACAAGATTCATATATCACGACTATCTTGGAAATTTACGACAGGAAAATAGAGTAAGAATGGATCATGCATGGGTGTACCTTGGCATGTATTACACTTGGTAGCATCCCTGAATCAAAATAGACACCAATTACAACCTCGCATAAAACAGGTTTAACGGGCAAAATGGGAGGGGAAGAAAGATATGAATGAAAGAGAGGATTATTACCTAATTAAAACAACCATATGACATACAGTACATGACACCACATCCAACTTATCTCTCTTGCATATAAGGTAAAAAAATATGTCCTTGCAGATAGCTTTCAACTGTTTTCTGTGCAACTCAGATGCATTATTCAAGTGCTGCTCTTCATTATATGACACGTTTCCATTACCTTCTTCATACTCTTTCACCAAATATAGAGGAATCCGGGCTTCAGCAAACCAATACTTTTCCTTTCCTTCTTCACCTTGCTCTATTTCAATAACATTTTTCATCACCCGTGAAGGAAGATGTTTTTGACTCCCAAAAGCTATCCCATAACAATTTTTCCCCTCTACCAGTTTAGTATCACAAATATTTGCATTTCTGAAAGCAGAAGCTTCAGTCTCTTGACCTTTCCCATCCTGGATATTCTGCTCGGGACGAATCAGATCACTCCATCTGAGATAAAAATCTAGATATCTGACCTGATGCAAATAATCAAATATTCACCAGGTCAACAAGCTTGCAAGATCCAACATACTTACAGCCAAACAAAGTTATAGCTAATGCTTGAAATATAACTCAATGAAAATACAGAAACCTGAAGTGCCAGCTGCGATGCATTCCTACTCATTTGTACAGCAGCTCTCCAAACGAGTTGTCTACTTCTTTTAGGGACTTCAATGCCATCAGCATAAAAAATGCCAGAAATTTTTCTTGAACCACCTGTTCCCGCAACAAAGAAAACATATTTTATTTCCAATTTGAAAAATCAGAAAATAATTCACAAATACTATTGTCGAGGAAAGTAGGGGAGACAACCAAATTGAAACATTCAATAGTCTTTGTAGGCTGACTCGGCCTACCTAGATCAGAACCTTGATATAATATCAGGTGATTATATAATGAATACCCAATATTCATCATCAAAGCTCACTAGTCATCTCAACCAACATATACAGGTAATGTGATATTTTAGTTAAAATTAAATTTATAATTAATTAGTTCATAAAGCAATAAATTAAAAAATAATTAAAATCAGGCCAAGCTGAACTTTCTACAGCCGTAAAAGATTTGACCTCAATGGGTATCATTCAAAGACCCAACCCAACCCCAACAAATAAATTTGGAAAATGGATGTAAGGAAGAATTAGGAAGATCACTGGGCCACTTGTGCCCATACCCGAACCAAGTGTTGGTGCTTAACAAGTAAGCTGATAATTTGGAATCTATCAGTTATAACAGATTATGTTAGTTACACATGGAACGAGGGATTGGCTTGAATAAAAAGGGAAGAGAGGGCAAGGCGTAACGTTATTGTGTGCACATGGGAAGTAAGAGAGAGTCGGGACGCTCAAAATTCTGGGGCAAAGAGAGACCTAGTCCATACTTCCAGCCTCAGCATCATTCTTGAACCCTTGTATCTTTCCTATATCCTGGTATATTGTGTGGTTAAAAATAAAATACCTTGTCGCGCTGCTTTTCTGACCATGGATTTTGGCAAGATAGCTTTCTGGAATATAAATTTAGTGACTTTTCCGCCACGCCACCACACAAAGTTTTCAGAGCATCCATCAGCTGTGGCTTCATCAATAGCTGGCCGCTTCTTGTATCGCCTCCCAGTTGGTGCACGTTTCTGTGCTGTTCCAAGAGTAGATGTGGCACTTTGTACCATGGAAAATTCCACCAACCAATCATCCACCAGCTTAACCCAGTCCCCATAGAAAGAAATCGTCCGAATGTTCTCCTCAAGCTGAAAATAAAGGATTAACAAAGTTGCTGAGATTGCACAAGTAAGAAATATCATGAGATATTCCTAACACAGGCAACATAATACAACATTCGGAAAAGGATCATATTGACAGGCAGCAACATCGGCATCTAAACTTTTAAAGCAACCAAGTTGACAAGACAAACCAAAAGCTGTACAAACTGATGTAAAACTAATACATCATATCACCTCATCAACACAACTACCCTAATATGTAAGCCCACATTTATTAATTGAATACAGCCACAAACACGTTATACAAGATCTACTCAAGTACATAAAGTCACTTAAAGCAGCAAGGCAATCAAAGGTCAAAAGGCATCCTGAAATAACTACTTCACAACAGATTTAGTCCCTGATGCCAGTGCTGAATTACATAACCAAAGAGATAGGAGCTGTATAAAGCCCTAAATTCATAAAACAAATAAAAGAAGTCAGAGTTTATCCAGAGTCATCTAAATTAGTTCCGTGAGTGACATCAGTCTCAATTTCTTTTTTATCATATCTATGTAATTCATCATCTTTTGGCTCATCTGAATCAGCATCAACTGTTGCAGGAAGTATATTTACAGGGGAAACTAAATAACCCCAAAATAACAAATGCAAAACAAATTAAATCCCAACGTCTGACTTCAACAACAAATGACAATTCCCAAAAGCCAAAATATAACATTAAGACAAATTAAAATTTTAATAATCACTTACTTCAAGTAAAAGTGGCTTGATAGCACTAAATGTCATAGCCTGTTCTACTCGCTGACGCCAGTGCCTTCTATAGCTTACACTTAGGAAGGGCCCAACTACTAAACCACGTAAACATTCCTCCATATATATAATGTAAGTTGCAATACTAGGGAGTACTCCTTCCACACTTCTTATAGGAGAAAAACCAGCTAGCATTTTTATAGCACTCTTTGTGGCACTTAGAGCAGCATGATTTAACATGCATCCTCTCTTGCTTGAAGCAGGGCCTTTACAAGAAATGCACCAGCCACACCTTTCTCTTGGAACCTCCACAGGCTTCTTCTCAGAACTTGGCCAAAAGAAACGTGAAGCAGTTAATGAAAATGCTTTTGCTTGCAAGTAAGTGTTTCCAGATGCCATTTTCCTCTGATTGTCTGACACATGGCCCATTGACCTAGATTCCTCTGAGGAAAGAAGTGCAAATTTAGCAGCTGCCGATGCAGCAAATTCACCATGTATATAGGAATTCATGTAAGACAAAGGCTTATAGGAGAAACCCATGTACACAAAACAATTGGTTACATTTCGTTCACACTTTTCAAAACCAGCTTGAGTGCTTTCTTTGGTTTGGAAAGGGACATTTATAGGCAACCCTGTACCATTTGCATGGCCATAATCACTAAATTGACCATTTACGGAAGAGCACTTGGCAGGATCTACCACTGTTGGCCTATCAACAAAATTTTCTTGGTTCAAGTTGGAATGCCAACTAACAGAAACAGAAGCAGAATCAGCTGAGAGGATGGACTCCATTCTAGTGTCCTCAGGAAGCTTTGTGGTCATAGTAGGGCACTCGCTATTGCTACCATTGCCATTACACCGAGGAGCAAGACTTGGATTGGAAACTGATGAAGTATCAAGAGATGGAACCATATTATCGTAAATTGCATTGACAGAGGTTAAAGGATTCTCTTCCTTCACCAAATTTCCTTCACCCAAAGGTGGAAGTAAAAATGTAGAGGGCTTTGCCTCTTTCTTACTATGTCCTGAGTTCACATTTGCTCCACTTGAAGCAGAATGAAACAACAAACTTTCTGGAAAATTCCAATATTGTAGCACTGCCATGCAAATATCATGGTATATTGGTCTGTGCTGCATGGATTCATAAAGCACTCGGAGAACCTTGGGAATGTCATTCTGATTGTAATATCTAAGACACAATTCAGCACTGCCAATATTCAGCCTGCAATGAACCACGTTAAAAGATAATAAGGATAAGACTTCAGAAAAATTGAAGTGCATAAAAAAACATTAAGCAAAAATTCAAGACTAAGGATTTTAAAATCAAACTTCAAATTTCATTAACTTCAGAAATACTACCTACTGATCCAACATAACAAAACAAATGAAATTAAGCACAAAGATGTTGAACATACACAAGTAAGTGTTCGCAAGTTCCCATGAAGAGTTGCCCATACAAATCCTTTCCAAATATTTCAGCCCCTCGAAGTGATGTTCCCTTTGCAATGGTTGGCCCCATCATATTTATTTTGCACTCTGGACAATACCATGTCCCTTCTGGTATATGATTTTTCAACACACCAATACACCTTGAATGATAAGCAGAGGGACACCCATCACAACAAAGCAGGGTCCCATCCATGCCACAGAGGCGACATTCATCACCATTCCTATCAACATCACCATCTACATTACTTTCTGTATCTCTGGAATATGAAATAGAGTTCCAAGGTTGGTTCACAACATTTGAAGCTGAAACAAACTTTGTAGTTTCTTTATCCTCACATGCTGAAGTATTGGTGGATCTTGGCTGGATTCTTCCAAGCTCAAATTCTGAAGGAAGGTTATCTTCTGCATCGTAATCGATCCCCACCTCTGATTCTCTTCGAATGTTCATTTCAATTATAATCTCCTCAGATTCCAAAACATCATCACAGAGAATTTGCAATATCATCAACTTCCTACTGACCGGCAATGCATAATATTCCACAGTGGATATCTCTTCGTGAAATGATCTCCATTCATGAGCATTTGCATGTCCACTGACTACCAAATATTGTATAAGAAAGACTGGCCATGTCAGTGGATCCAGCAAGCTCCATTCATTGCACCTACAAATACATCAAACAAAATAACTTTTTAAAGATAACAATTTTTCCATATAAAATAATGAATCAATAAAATGTTGTAGCAGTGCTGTTGCAAAGTAGCAGAGAGTAGCTTTAGGCAGTTGCTATGGGATTCAAACAGCAGACTGATTTTCAATACCAGTCATTGCAGCTGCCATAGTGACTTATTGCATGCTATAATAGCACTACCATGATAGAGTGGCATAGACTTCAAAAACACTTCCCTAAAACAATGTTGTTTTATTTCGTTTTCATATTATAATATTTAAAACATGGACCATCTCACTTTAATAGCATATAGCGGAAACTGGCAGAAAGCCAATAATCCACTATATCAATTATATATAAGTATAAATGAATTATATGGTTTACATAATTATATATGTAGAAACCTTAGATTGTGTACAAATAAAACTAAAAATACATAAAAGTTGGCATAATAACAAATCAAAATTCAGTTTGCGAGAGACTCGCCAAAGATAACAATAGAATCCACTATCCACATGCTTGCTGCAACCACGTTTTGTGTCGAGTTGCAATAGCAGATTCAAAGAACTCCAATGAACAAGGTATCATTTACCGACTATCTAACAACTCTATCATTATCCTGATAAGGAGTTGCTACCACTACATCCCACCTTCCAAAATCTAACATTGATAACTATGATAGAAGTATGAGCAAGCTACTCATGCTAACAATCACACAGCAGTATAGGAATAATTACAATACCTGAGGCATCTTGAAGCTTGTTCAGAGCCCTCTGTGGAGAGGGCTTCAAGGTGCCTCCGCAAAACTTTTATCAGCGATAGATGAATTGCATCAAATAGTGAATTCGCGACTTGACAATTCAGGGCACCAATGAATTCATCCAGAGTAAACGGCTGTAGGAACAACCGTGTACTAAAGGACCTCAGGAATCCGTATACAGAGAATACCAATGAGACACAATGTTCTGGAACCCCAACGGTTCCTGATGACACAGGCAACTGAGGGGGTGGCGGCTGGGTCTCAGCTTCAGCACCAGAATCCATTCCCAGCCCAATGCCAGAATCACTTGAAGAATTGGCATCCCCATGGTCATCCTCATCTCCTTCCTCATCTTTTTCATTCAACAACTCATTGTTCAGTTCACCCAATTCATTCTTAGATTCCTCCTTAATGGATTCAATTGGTCCCTTCTGTGAACCATTTCCGATCTTGCTACAATTATTTGACACCAATTTTTCTAACACCTCTTTCCTCTGCACTAAATCACAGTTGAATTCACCCTCTTTTAAGAGTATGGAGCGTACTTCAGTACTGTCGAGGTCCTCTGAATCGCCATCCTCGTAACAAACTCTATAAAGACCGGATTCGTAATACACTACCTTTCCCAGGTATACTCCGCTTCGAGGAAAATCTTTCAAAACGTATCTCCCTAAGAGAGCAACGGGGCGGGTCCCCATAGTCGCCTGCCTCTTTGCTTCGCTCTCATTCTCCTCGTCCTCTCTTCTCCTCTTCCTCGGACGTCCTCTCCGTCTCGCTACGGGTGCCTCCATCACACAATCGAACCGAAAATTAGAACCCTAAGATAGAATTTTCTTTGATTTAGGCTTTCTAGCAAAAGAATTGATTGGGATACTAGGGTTCGATTAGATCCTGCAAAGTTGTATGCAAAGAAAAACAGTTGAAGATAAGTAAGAGTGAAGATGAAAATCGAAGTCTGGATTGGATAGAAATTAGGGAGATGGAGAAAGGAATTCTGAGAGATTGGAAATGGAAAGAGCAATAGGGTTGATAATCTGTGAAGAGAGTTGAAGATTGATGGAAAGTGTGGTTGTTGGGGGTATGAAGTGAGAGAAGTAGAAATGGAATGAGATAACTCTGCCCTAGTGAAGAGAATGCACAGTGGGGAGAACAATGGATTTGATTTGATTTGTTCTAGACTCAGTTACCGAGTTTTTGTTATTCTTTCTAGGACGAGTCTTGATGGTGTGTTAACTCGTCGAGTCGGAGTTGGCCTGAGTCAGCTCCAATTCACTCTGTGTCAAGGTACAAAAGAATTATTCATCGAACCTTACATGCTGTTGTTGCTGACTCAACCCCAACATATAATATGAAATTTTATGGGAAAAAAAATTATAATCATTTTGCCCGCCAAAACATTAGATTTAAAAAATATTTCTTGTGTTTTTGTTTTCTCATTTTATCAAACAAGATGAAAATGGTAGGAATATTTTGCTGAGAAGACCCATGGTAATAGTATTTTTAATTTCAAGTTCCCTGTTAATTTATTTTACTATTAAGAGTACTGTCTTGGAGTGATATTTAAAAAATATTCTAAGTTAATGTTTGATTTAAGTCCCTTAGTATTAATAAAAATAATGTAACCAAGTTTAAAATAAAAGAAACCAATTCCAATATATTTTTGTTAATTAGAGTGTTTTTTCTTTTTATTTATCTCTCTACTTGTTTTCTAATGCATCTTCCTATTGAGAGTTTTGTTATTATTATTATTATTTAATTTTATTTTTAATTCTTTAATTTCATCAATCTTACTCCTATTGTTTTTTCATTTTCATTATAGTCTATAAGGAATATGGTTGGATGTAATTCAATTGGCACCTTAGTAGTTATGAACGAAAAAAAGTTGATACTAACCATTATAGAAACTTAACTGATAATTTATTTTATCTCTCTAATTCTAAAATATTTTGTATAATTATGCACAATCTTACACAACAAAATAAATTCCTTAAATATTATATCAATATCACATCTGAAATATCATCAACAATTTTTTTTATTATAAGTTTTTTAAAATTTGATTCAATCCAAACATTCAAATAAAAAAATTGGAATTTTTTTTATCAAAACAAGTATTACTTATTTGAGCACTCCATTACAAACTAATTGTCTTTAGTAAATTAGCATTATTTTTCTTTGTTTGATATAAAAAAAACAATAGAGAAAAAATAAATGAGACATAAAAAAAAATCTTGAGTTGGTCATGATAAGAATAAAATTATTTATTTAAGTCAAAATGAACAAATAAAAAATAACATAAATAAGGTTTGATCTTAAATACAAAACAACACAAATTAAAAAATATACATATAAACATGATTAAATATGAAAACACATAAACATAAAAACATTCAATGTTTATTATCAATTTTGATTTGATAAGTTTAGTAATTAATTGAAGATGATGGTGTTATATAACTTATTTTTATTTTGATTATTCCATGTAATAAGAGGAAGACAAAAATGAGATGTAATTCTAAGGTTATTATTATTAGAGTAAAGTTATTTTATGTTCATCACAATTAACAAAGCAGAAAATAACAAAAATAGTGTTTAAACCCCAACTAAAATATCACAAATTAGCTAAAAACAAATATAAATTTAATTAAGTATGAAAACAATATTAATATAAGTTATTCACTTCTTATTGTCTATTTGTATTCAATGATACAAGTAACAATTCAGTGAAAAAATAAATAAAATATGAGATAATTGGTTGTGACAGAGGTGAATGACGAACCTATATATACAGGAGAGAGTGTCCAGGTGCACCCCTGATTTTGTTAAAATTAAATATGAAATTTTGTTATTTTGTCTCCCCTAATCTTATATGTTTGAACCTGTTGGTCGCTCCTCTATGATACCTGATTTTGTTAAAATTATTACTAAGTATCTGAAAAAAATTATTTTGTCTCCCTTAGTCTTATACATTTGAACTCGTTGGTTATTGTTTTATGATAGAGTTGTGTGCAGTTGAGAGTGTAGAAATACATCACTTGACTTGAAATGTAAATTGTCCTCACTGACTTAAGGTTTTCGATCTGCCACTGACAGAGGTTGTTTCATGTGCATAAAAATAAATAAAATTAAGAGAAAACAATAAAAATACATGTTTGATCTTAAATAAAAATAGCAGAAGTCAAAACAAAAACAACCCTAATATAATTCAACTCGAAAAATATATACAAGATATTCACCCAATAATATTTATTTATATTTAAAAATATTTCACTTACCTGGATAATCAATCGAAAGTAAGTTATCTCGAAAAAGTCAACTTTTTTCTCGCTCAAACAAGACAAAAAAGAGTAAGATATGTAATTGTATATAGAATTCATCACGAGAGAAATACGAGTTTATGTTTTTTTCATCAAACCACTCAAAAGATAAACAACCAATAATATGTTTAAAACTTAAATTATAAATTATAAATCAAAATATGTATAACCCTAAAACACAATTAACCTACAAATCATACTCTTACAATATGTTTTCCATCTAGCATATATTTGTAGTTAATTATGCCCAACTTACCTAGGTAATTGACTAAAGAGATGCTTGGAGATGGAATCAAGAACAGAGGGATCTAAGATATAATGATGATATAGAAAGGGGTTAATAAAGTGGGATGAGAAAGTAGGGATTTGAAAAAAAAAATATACATTGAATCAACATATAAACAAAAAAAAAAATAGAGAATGAGGTGAAAGAAAAATGTGAATCCAATTAAACAAATTTATTTAGATAAAAGATAGTTGGGCTTTTTAATGATGATTTCTTTTATAAATGGACCTATTAGTAATGACAACAAATATGAACTTAGGCCCAATATAAAATAAAGATAATTTACATAATATTTAACCATATAGTAAAATTAAAAACAAATAAAAAAAAACAACTTAGTTATTATTAAATTATAAACAAATTCAACCTGCACAATATCTACCATTTGATATTTATTTTATGTAATGACAGGGAGGAGACACAAATGAGATAAAAAAATTGAATATTAATTTGGCATGAGTGGTCAAATATGAGAACTAACCTTGAGGCCGTGAAAAGTATAGTTGATCAAATAGGTTGACTCGATCCACTAGTTTGACTAGCCTATAAAATAGACTAAACTTGATGAGATCATTAATATATAAAAAAAAGGAACAAAAACATTTAATTTTAAGAAGAGTAACAAAATAAATTATAAGATAAAAATATTTTTATTCTAAAAAAATGTATTTATTTTGTATTGAATTATAATCTATGATTTTGTTTACAGGTTGGACTTTGTTAAGCCAACAAAGGGGCATAACTTTGACCAAGAAGAAACATACGTCAAGATTTTCAATCTATATACAAAATAACACTTTTGACCGAGGCAAATAAGAAAGACACTTAGAACATAACAACGAGAATGTGACCAAGACATAAAAGGCATGAACCAAGCATGAAACACACCACTTTTGATCCTACACTAAAGAGTAATTTGGAGTCACGATTATATTCAAATTTGAATTTAGATTTTCCTCTCTTTTATTTCATTTGAATTTGAATCATTGTTTCATGTGCATCATAGATTTTGGTGTCACGAAGACTATAAATAATTATCAACTCTCTTATGAAATTATTGAGAATTATATATTTTTAAAGAAACACATTTGAGAGTGATTTTTTCCTCTGAACAATTTATAACAATCAAGTAAGCATTTTTCACCAGTTATTAAAAAAAATACTTTTCAAGTGGCTTGACTTTTTCATTTTTCACAAGCTTTCTCTCTACTTTTCTTAATCTTTTGGTTTGTATTCTACTTCAATTCTCATGTTACTTCTCTTCTTTTGTTCATTTTGTTTGATTTTTTTTTCATATTATTTCATCCTGGTAAATAATAAAATAATTATTTATTTATTATTTATTTTCTTAATTTGTTTCATAATAAATCTTCACTTCACACTTAATTAAACACTTAAACTACAACTAACAAATGATATATTATAATAATTAAAACAAGACTTAAACTATACTATACAAGAGTTGTTTTTTATAAAATATTCAATTATCATATTATAATGTATGAATTAGAACAAAGCATTTTTATTTTTTAGTCTACTCATTTAGTTTTAATCCAAATGAGTTTAGACTAACCTAAAGACTCTTGAATAAAATAAATATACCTTTTTGTCTTTATATTTAAAAACTGATTAATTAGTCCTTTAAATTATGAAAATATGTTATTCTAATTCTTTTAAATATTTAAAGTTAATATTTTGTTATATTTTTTAATTTAATATAATTGATAAATTGATTAAATAGGTTCATTGTTTTTTTACACATAAATTTAATATTTAACAATATTTTTTATTGTTAAAAAAGTTAAGAAAATAACTAAATTCACATATTTTGTTATTTTAGAGGGGAACTAGTTATTTTTTATTTGGAGAGGAGTTTATAAATTTAATTTAATTTGAAACATTAAAAATAATGTGTTAGACATGATATGTAGTATGATATTGTTATGAATCTACTTAATGGATTTAATTTCACTAGCAGATTTAAGATAATTGAAAGCACTTAACTCTTAAATTTCACTTAACACTTTTAAATTCATCCAACGGATTTGGGATAGTAATGAAAAATAAATTATGTGAAAATTTCACTTAACAAAATGTTATTTTACTTACCAAAATTTGAATGAAGATCACACTAAACATGTACATAATCTACTTAGTTGTTCAAATTCTAGTCAACACTTTCAATTCA